GGAGGCAGCAGGCAGTGTGAAGGGAGGGAGGCACTGGCGGCCAGCAGCGAGGAGCAAAGAGGAACGTGGCGGTGTCGCGTATGCTCCACACCTGTTCGGGTGGCCAGGGGAAAGTCGAGAATAGAGACGCTCCCCTGCTGCGTCCGAGCATTCCCAGGAAACCTTTCAGAAGCCAGCACGGCATAAAGCGCGGACGCAGCTACTGTTTAGTTTATTTGGGAATTATAGTTTGAGTTTTCCTAGACCCCAAAAGTTAACCTACCAAATCATACCAGATAGCACGAAACCTAAAATCATACTGGGGAAAAAAAAAGATAAACCCAAGACCCACTGCCATCAAGTTAATTCCAACTCAAGGGCCCCTCTGGACAGAGCAGCACTTTTCCTCGGGTTTCGAGGCTGCAGAAGCAGACTGGCCTCGTCTTTCTCCCGAGGAGCGGCCAGTGGGCTCAAACTGCAGGTCTCGTTCTGCAGCTAATGCTTTGACCACTGTGTCCCGGGGTTTCCGAGGAGCGTGGACTCGGTGGCAGTGGCTGGGCTAGTGCAAGCCTGAGGGGGGTGCCCCGGTGTATCAGACATGCCGTGTATACAAATAACACGTGTGTGCGCGTGCCCGTGCAGCTCCTGGGAGAGGAGCTCACTGCTCTGGGGTGCTTCCTGAAACAAAAAGCCTTTTCAGATAGCTTTTTGTTAGGGGGGAAGGACCGCCCAAGTTTCCCATCTCTAGAGGGGGCGGGGCTGCACTAGATGCTCTTTCTAAATGAGTTAGGTTTGAGGCTCGGGCTCAGTCAGTTGCTCTTGCGTGACTCGGCTTCCACAAAGGAGCGTTTTTTTGTTGAACTTGCCTGAAGCGCGTCTCAGGTCACTTTCAGATGCTGCTTGACCACACCTGTTGGCCTGTGAGCGGTGCAGCGCTCCGCCTCTGGCCCAGGTGGGTGTGGAAGGGTCCTGGGCCTGTGGCCCCTGCCCGTCCCAGCAGCCTGGGGCCTGTGTGGGCGTGAGGAAGCTGCCGGCTCACCGCCAGGCCAGTTCTTTTTCCCGGTTTGGATTGTACAGAGGAAGAATATGACGAAGATGCTCAGCTAGTGGAAGACGAGGAGGACGGGGAGGAGGAGGAGGAAGGCGAAGAGGAGGATGTGAGTGGAGAGGAGGAGGTAAGGAGCCGGGCAGGGTGGGCTTGGCTTGCTCCCTTCCAGCTCTGAATCGCCTCCACATAAGGGCTCTCGGGGAGGCTGGAGGAGGAGTGGAGGCCGGTAAAGAAGGAGGCGCAACTACCTGCCCAGGTAAGCCTGGCCTTCACTTCTCTGTGGAGGTGCATTCCTACAGGACAGAATCGGGGTCCCCATCTTCTGTCCTTTTGCATCTGTACGCTAATTCCATGAATGCTCACTGAGTACTTACTAGTGTCAGACGCAAACACCGTCATGGCCTTTGAGCGCTGCTGGATCCTAATTTGGAATCCTCCCAGGTAATAGTGGAGGGCCTCAAAAAGTTCATGAGGGAAGTCTCATTATCTTGTAGTTGTATTTTTCCACGAGCTTTTGGAAGCTCCTTTCGTATAGTACAGAGGTTAAGAGCCCAGGCTTTGCAGGGCTGAACCCTTGCTCTCCTGCTTGCCAGCTGTGCCAGTTACTGACTTCTCTGGGCCCACTTCGTCCCTAGTAGACAATATCGTTGACCTCTTAGCAGCCCTGACTCACTGGCTTATTAAAATAGGACAAAGTAAAATGGACTTAATAAACCATTCAACCACTTCGTGTTTGGGGCTGTCTCACCTTTTTCCAAGGGCCCCGCTTTTGTGTTTGGCTGCCTAAGTCTCTCATTGAAGAGAGTCATGTTCCAGTTCTAAATCAGCTCTGGCTAAGAGCCAAAGTCAGACCTAGAGAGATTTAAAAGGCGGACAACAAACCTTCTCCCCCTGCTTCAGGTTGCCTTCCATTGGGAACGCAGACATGATTTCCGCCCGCAGCAGAACTTGCCTGCAAGCCCCCCTCCTGGACCCATACCCACACACCCCGACCTTGGGAGGAGCCCACGATCAGGCCCACAGAAAAGCAGATAAGACGGCCTTGGTGGCTCAGTCTCCTTCTAGGCTGGGTTTCTTTTCTCCCTCGGTCTACGCTGCTCTGCTCCCCTCTGAAGAGTACCATGAGTGCTATAGAAATACAGGCTTTGCAAACGAAGTCCCCCTAAGACAGGGCAGCCCAGGTGCTGGCTAATGGGCTTCTCTTCTTGCCCTTCCTGTCACAAGAGCTGCCACGTGCAGGGGCTTTTCCTTTGTAATCTCATCGGCCATCCGCAAATTGCCAACTTCCAGTAAAGAGGGGTTTCTACACAAACACAGAACCTTCGCAAACAGACTGATAGGGAACTGCCGGTGACATTCTGAAAGGCTATTTATTTCCCTGGACACAGAAGGAATCCATCACCAGATTGCTTTTAAGCAAGAGGCCCCAGCCTCGGGAGTATCGGTCAAGGTACAGAAGTACACAGACGTTCCAGGGTCAGCAGCAAGTAAGGGCCCTGCTTTGAGAACAAAGCCATTTGCTGGGCCAAGTCTCAAGCAACTTAAGAATGCTGTCCTTGGGAGCCTTTGAAGGTATCCTCCCTTTCTCTGGAGGCACAAGGAGCCCTGATGCTTTGTGGGTTGGGCATTGGTCAGTGGTCCAAACCCCCACGCCATTTTTTTGGGGTGGGTGGGTGGGTGGGTGGGGGGATGAGACTGCCTCCTTGCATAAAGATGTACAGACTCAGAAGGCTTGTAGGAGAGGGTCAATTGGAGTTAGAAATGACTCAGTGGCAGTGGGTTTGGGTTTTCCCTGGTGGCACAGTTGGTTAAGCATTGGGTTGCTAACTGCAAGGTCAGTGATTCAAACTCTCCAGCTGTCCTGGGTAAAAGAGGAGGCTGGATACTCCTAGGTTTAAAGCCCTGGAGGATCACAGTCAGTCCCAAGTGAACTCCCCCCCGCCCCCCCTGTGGGTTTTGTTGTTGTTGATTTCCCTGGACTGCTGTGGGTTTTGTTGTTGATTTACCTGGACTGCCGATGGGAAGGTTAGTGGTTTGAGTCTAGCTAGAGGAGCCTTGGAGGAAAGGCCTGGCAATCGACTTCCCAGAAATTAGCCACTGAGAGAGCTACAGAGAGAGCACAGTTGTATTGTGGCGCACATGAGACTGCCACAGCCCAAACACGCTCGGTGTGCTGGGTTTTCTCTGCTCTGCAGGTGGCCCATGCCAGGCCCGCTCAGCTTCAGAACAGGTCTCCTTAATCCTTGGGTGGAATTGCCGCCCAGACAGTGTCTGCAGAGACTGCATGAGATTTGGGCACTTCTGGGGGGAGCGTCAGAGCCTCCCTGCAGATTTTCAAAGGGGCTCTTGATGCTCCTCCAACGCCGAGAAGCTCTGCCTTAGCTGTGCCCTGGGATCATGGCTGGGCCTTGATCTGGGGCTCCCACGACCTGGATTAGCGCCGAGTCTGGAGAGTGGCTGCCTCGTGTGCCCCTGGCATGGCTAGCCCAGGGGCCTCTGTAACCTGGTGTCTTTTCTCCTAAGGAGGATGAGGAAGGGTATAATGACGGGGAAGTCGATGACGATGAAGACGAAGATGATCTCAGCGGTAGGTGGCCTGTTACCTCTCTGGCAGCAGGCTGGGCCCTGAGACCCCTGGGCAGTGGGTGGAACACCCCCGCTTGCTGTGACCCTGCTTCTTGCTCGGTGGGCTACGTTAAAGAGACAGGCTCTGCATTCACCTCGACCCCTCTCCTTTCTCTCCAGAAGAAGAGAGGGGTCAGAAGCGGAAACGAGAGCCTGAAGATGAGGGAGAGGAAGATGACTAAGTGGATAACCTATTTTGGAGAAGAAGAAAAATTCCTATTGTGATTTGACTGTTTTTACCCCTTCCCCCCACCCCAAATCCCACCCCCCAAAACTTATTTTTTTCTGATTGTAACGTTGCTGTGGGAACGAGAGGGGAGAAGTGTATTGGGGGTTGCGGGGGGAGGGCGGGCGGGAGGGGGTGGAATAAAATACTATTTTTACTGCCACTCCTTATTTTTTCTCCCTCCCCCTACTTTTTTTTTTCTTTGCGTCTCTGGTTCTCTCCCCTGTAAATGCAATAGCTAAAGAGGCGCTGGGTGGACATCTGTTCCTCTCACCGAGGAAGGGCTGGGGGCCCCTCCTGTTTCCTGGTTTCCCCAGATCTCTGAGTTGTTTGGAAGCCCTCGGCTGGCTGGCCTCGATTGGTTACAATCACAGCCCAGGAGCGGCTTGCGCCCGCCAGATCTTGGGTCTTGTTCTGGGCCACGGGGCTGCTTGGGTCTTGTTCTGGGCCACGGGGCTGCCACGGTTCTTGGGTGTGCTAGGGGCGTCGGATTACCCGGGTTTGTAAATAGTAACCTCAAGGTGTATTTTGGCACCGGTTAGGGGATATTCCCTGTCTCCCCAGCCTGCTCCTTCTCCCTGCTCAGATGGTGGTGGGCTTTGCTCTAGGAAGAGGAGTCTTGATGTTACACTGATGTTTCAGCCACCGAGCTGAAAAAAACGGTAGACTTAATTAATAATGAGTCGCGAGTCCAATGAAAGTTGATCGTTACAAATGAGAGGGAAGTCGCAAACTCCTCCAACGTCAGCCTCTTTCAAAGCAAGAAGACCGACAAAGTCAAGCGGCCCGGTCTTCGTCTGTAAAATAGTAGAGCCCTCGTGTCTCACCAAAGCGCAAGAGACTTTCTCCTGCGTGTTGCCGCCCATGCTTTAGAGCTTCATCGGCTTTATTTCACGGTCTAAGCGCAGGAGACGCTGCTGCCTGTAGGCTGGGTGTGGGTTTGGTCTGGATTTGGACAAACTGATGCAGACATTGTATTTTCGTACCTCCTGGAAGTCTGAAAGGGCTGCAGCTTCCCAATGACTGCACGGGCTGGCGTTCCTGCCCCTTGTGGATTCCCCAGCCCACGTTTTCATCTGTGTCAAAGAACGTCTGCACCACATCTCCTCCCCGCCCCCACCTCGGAAGAGCCCAACTTTTGAGTTTTATGTCTGTTTGTTCTTGATAAATTTCAATAAATCTTTTTATACAATTTTTTTGGGGGGATGGCTTCTTTTGAATCCAGCCCACTGAATTTCTGAGCTGCCTTCTAGATAACATGCTATTTAACTAGGGGAGAGGGGAGGTGCCAGTTTTGTTAACCCAGTCAACTAGCTTTTCTAATAAAATACACCTGTGACACTGCACTCTGATACTCAGTGGTATTCATTCACAACTCCCGGCCATCTCGAGGCGATGCCCCTCTACAGCAACCCTGTAGGACGGACAGAACTGCCCCTGTGGGCTTCTGAGAGGGCAACTCTTTAGTGATAGAAAGCCTCACCTTTCTTCCAAGGATTGGCTGGTGGTTTCAAACTGCTGACCTAGCAGGTAGCAGCCCAACAAGTAACAACTCTGTCTCTGGGGTTCCTATTCAGTGGTTTGGCTACATTAGAAGGTTAAAAAAAAAAAGCCATTATAAGAAAACACCGAAACAATGGACAAAGAGTTGGAATTCGGGCCAACCTTGGAACTTTATTTTTAATGTCCTCCACTTTTGATTTTGCAGACGACAACAAAACCTATGCTTAAAACCCCCCAGAATATGTGAAATCAGTTAACACAGGTTTGTACGGGATGTCTTCTTTTATTACTTAACCTAAACCCACTGCCTTTGACTTATCCCCACTCGTGGGGAAGCCCGTGTGGGCCTCCTGGGGCTGTACATCTTCATGAGAGCAGACAGCCGTCTTCCTCAGGGCAGCCGGTAGCTCTAACCAGGCGCCCTCACAGTTGGCAGGCCAGTGCTCACCCATGACTTCGCAGATTGGCCTTTTTTCCTAGCTCTTTAGCAGTTTAACGACTATATTCTGAATTCATCAAGGAGATGTTTGGGTTATTTCCATCTTGCCACTGGAATAGACATTCTATTACATATAAACAACTGCTCTGACTTCCTGTGGGTTTTCTAGTACTGTCTTTGGGGTCACCGGACCAGGGGTTCAATGGTTTGGCCATTCATGCTTTTGAATAACGAATGTATAAACAGCAAGGATAAAAACGAGGTAGCAAGGGCACGTGAACTATGAAGATGAAATTAGTGATAAGAAAAGAGGTTTATAGGATTTTGATTTTTATGTTACTGAAGTTAAGTTGGTACCCTTCGCTCTGGAATGCTATGAGTACAAGCTGTCAAAGGAAGTATTCATAGTAACCACTCCACCAAGAAAATATCTGAAAAGCATGCATGAAAGGCCAGGCAATGGGAACCAAGATTGTTCCCTTTGCTAAACTGACAGAGCAAGTGCCGGTGAGGCACCAGGGCCAGGCTTCACGTGCACACACCCACACTCACCCCTGCAATGGCAGAATCCAGTCGCTTAGCAACTCCTGTTTGTGAAGCTTATAGGGTTGGCGGGACAAGGCTCCATTGTTTTCCCAGAAGGCTTGTAGAAGTCCCTGGGATTGTGTACATCCACACATACATTTGAACCCCACCAGGAGCCAAAGTGAACCCAGCAGTGTGAGGTGGTGGCCAGGAGAGACCCAGCTCTATTGCCCTTTGACACCCACTGGCTTCAAGAGAGGGCTGTGGGACCTGACCTCCCGTGGGCCAGATGTAGCCCTAGGGCTGGCAGGTGAATTAGACATGGCCGACATTGAAAGAAATGGTTCTGGCCTCCAAGGAGGCCTGGCAGAGTAGTGGGTTTTAAGTTGGGCTGCTAGCCACACAAGGTCAGCAGTTCAAAACCACCAGATGGGGCTTTCTGCTCCTGTGTAGAGTCAGCAGCTTTGGAAGCCCACAAAGGCAGCTCTGCTCTGTCTTAAGAGTTGCTATGAATTGGAATTGACAGACATGGAGTTTGGTTTTTAGTATGATCTGGCCTCTGTGGCCCTCCCACCGGGCTTAGTGAGATTCATAGATCAGAAAAGAAATTCTACACAAGGCGAGGCAAAATGGATGCTGATTCAGCTCTCGGCAGCCCGAAGGAAAGTATTTGGGCCCATTTTGCTGAAGAAGATGGAAGTTGGGTCATTTGAAAGTGGAGTAAGGTGGAGCCAGGGTGAAGCTCAGGACTGTCTGGGGCTATTTGTGTTTCACGGAGCTTAGTCATAACTGAGAAGGAGAAAAGCCCAGCCCAAGTGGGAGACAAGGAGTGAAACAAGAGCCAGCCTTCAGAGCATTGCTGGCACACTGCGTTCTATGCAGCATCTTTAATCTGCTGAAATCCTCACAGCCACCTAACACAGCTACTGTTACCATCCTCGTTACCGAGGGAGCCACCCAAGGTCAGTGCAGTCAGTACTTTCAACCTCAGGGTACAAATCATGGGTCTGATCCCAGCCCCTGCCCTCTTACCCTTACACTTCAGTGCCTCCAACCCCCAGCCTTCTGCCTGGGCTCTCTGCATCTGCCACCCACTCCCTATATGAGTCATTGTGTTAAAGCAGCTTCCCCACCTCGACCACAGCTCGGATGAGGGAGGTTTCACCAGATGGGGGGGGGCTTCTAATCCCTTGTGCCTGCACCACTCCCTCCCTGCTGAGAACTTGCATTTCCATCCCAGGTACACTGGATCAGAAGCTACATTTCAACAAGATCCCCTGGGTGATTCTTGGGAGAGGATGTACACTGTACACACCAGGTACGCCAGGCCTCATTAAACCGGAGATTCTGCTTTAGGATAACGAGTGGAAAAGCAGGGGTCAGACCAGAATGAACCGGTGTGAAGCCCTTACCAGGAGACCCTTAGAAGTGCCCAGGTCCAACCCTGACATTCGACAAAGGTAGAAACCAAAGTCCAGAGAGAACAAGTGAGGCACCCAAGGTGACACTGCCGAACGGTAGCAGGGACGGTCCTGGAGCCCAAGCCCCTCTCTCCTGGGCTTCTCGTGTCTCACGATGCAGCGGCAGGTGGGTGAGGAGCCAAGCTGCTGTGGTGAGAAGCAGAAGACATTGGAAGGAGGGGACAGAGCAAACCTTGGGTGGACAGGGTGTAGAGCATGCCGGGGCCCATCTGGTTTAAGTGGCTTGGGAATACATCTGTTTTAAATATTCAGTGACAGTGTCTGATGTTGCTCACCACTGAACAAGCTGTGTGTGTCCTGGTGCAGACCAAAACCTAGAGAGACGAGAATATGAGTCACAAAGACTTGTGATGGATGGGGAGCCCGTCCTTGGCCCCGTGGACTTAGTGTCCACTGCCTCTGGTCGTCACCCAGAGTTCAGAGCGGGAGCCTCAGAGAGCTGAGCCAACTAGCCCAGCTAGGGAGTGGCAGCTGGACCTCAGAAGGTCTTGCTGATGCCATTGCCGGTGTTTTGATCCTCTATTCCCAGTCCTGGGCAGACAAGGAGGGGGGTGAGCAATTCTATTTGTCTCATTTGCTGACTTGCAAAGGCTGCTATTATCCTGCTTCAGAAACGTGTCATTCTGGTTGGAAGGATTCCCACAGTGGGGCACTCCTAAGCAGCTTTGGACGAAGGCAGCCATCAGACCCTGGACCTGCAGAGAGCCGGAAACTGCCGGACAGATGGAGGTAGGTCTGAGGCTGACTCAGCGTGGTGGAGACTTCCGTGGCCAGCCAGGAATATGCCAGCAAAGGAGAGACTTGAGCAAGATGCACACCAGATGGACCCCGGGACTGCTGATTGGCTATGCGACTCACGCAGCGGATCCATGGGATATCTGTGGGGGTGGCCTGCCAAGTGCCAATGTCTCTTGGTGTTACAACCACAAAGACATTACAGGAGCCATCTGAAGGAGTCCTGTAGAAATGGATGATTCTCCATTCATGAAGCTCAGTGAGGGGTCTGGGCCTGGCCATTCTGGCTTCT